ACCGTGAAAAAGGGAATCCCACACCCGTTCTTTGCGCAGGCATTCCCTGTGTGTAGTTTTCTCCTGGCAGCATCTGTTCCAGCAGTCTGCGTCTCTCCCCTCCCCTCCTACTCTCTCTCTCACTCTCTTGGAAGAATGGCGAAAGGGACACTGCCTGTCACAATTATTTCCTCACCGAGACGACAATACTTTTTCATTGCGTAATAATGAAGGCCGATGTTGTGTTTTCTTAAAAGATCGTTTGTTTGTTTTTCAAAAGAATCGTCAGACGCAGGCATGCGATCCCCGCTGCTTCGGAACGCGCATGTTCCAACTACTACAGCTGCACGATGAAGTTCTGGTGTCACCAATGTGAGTAACATTTGATACATGCACGTGTGGTGGGGGGTTTAGTTAAAAAAAAAAATTCGTTTGCATTGCTTGCAACCGGATTTTAACTTTTATTAAACGCAAAATTTTATTAGCTCTATTTTATGTATTCGAAAATCGTTTTACGCTTTACTTTCTCTCAAATGAGTTAAATTAGGACAGTTAAATTAAAATTTACAATGTGAAAATTTTGAAATAAAAATTTATGTTATCCTTGAATTTCAAATTAATAACTGTGATAAAATAAATATGTGTTAGAAATTATAAAACTATCGTGAATATTTATTTATTTATTTAATTTAAATAACTGATTTATTTTTGTTCAAAAAATTATTCTAAATGCAAATTTTTTTCTTCTTATTGATGATAATTAGTGTTTCTCCCCATCTAATATTATTTATTTTATTTATTTATTATCATCTAATATTATTTTTAGTTATTTCCCTATCTAATAACATAAAAACCGGTTTTGCTATGCGAGAAGAATGCAGGTTAAAATACGACTTTTTACGTGCAGAACCGTCAGTGGATATTAATCATATATATATACATACATACATAAAGAAAAGGATAAAGACGAAGAAAATTTACTGCGCATTAGCTGCGAGTATATAGAACTCATAAAATAAGTTTAAAATATAGAGAGAACATGGAAAATATTAAAATAATATATGCTGCAGTAAAAACAAATATTGTTTTTATATAGTTCTCTGAGGGGAGCTCTTAATCTCACCTCTATTTTAGTTCTCTGATTTTAGAAACATTTTTAATGAATTTTAAAAACATAATAACATAAAATATACCATTCCCATAAGTTTCCTAATTTTAGGTTGATCTAGTTCACTTACGGCCCTAAGATGAGATTTATCAGTCTTCTGCTGAAATGTCTAAACTCATATATATTTTATTCTATTATACCTTAACCGATAAATAAATAATAAAAAAGCCGATAATAAAAGAAAATAAACGGAAATAAATTTAACACTATTGGCTCTCTTTAATTCTTCAATCAATTAATTTTTTTATTATGTTCAGATTAAGTAGTTTTTCCTTTTACTATAGCATCATCGAAATAAATAAACACATTAATTGTCACTAAATAATTTTTAACTGCGTTTCTGAAAATTTTCAGGAGCTGATGAAACTATAAACTATCGAACATACTTAAAACACCTAAATCGAGAGTAATATACAGTGGGCAAAAAAAAAAAAAATAAATAAATAAATGAACCACTCTTCATAATTTATGGTCTAATGATCGGATCTTCTCATTCTAAGACTCATTCTTAATGATTCGAGATATTGACCTCAAATCTGCTAATTAATTAGTGCAAACGATATTTTAAGTTACGAAATTGAACACAAAAACGTACTTTCTCTGAATAAACATACCTTTTTTTCAACAAATTTAGATTTCTGACCCCCAGAACATAGGGGGGTATCCGCAATCTGGGAGATATGGTTTGATCAGGAGAGCGATCCAAAGTTAGGACTCCTTAATGTTAATTTTACGAATTGAAAATAATGTTACAAACATTTATAAAATTCATTTATCCCAAGATAATTCCATGCAAAAAGTAACTTTTAATAAATATTCATAATTTTTTTATTATTTTATTTATTATCAGTCGAAAAATTGTTGAATTGTGAGGTATAAATTTTTTTCTCCATCATTTTAAAGAATATAATTTTACATGACAAAATACAAAAATTGAACGGTATTGTTCCTGATAAATTGAATTTTTAGAATACGACTTTTTATTGTACTCGAATCTATCGTGTATATCTTTTAAGAGTTTTTGTAATTTTTTTAGTTAAGCACCGAATAAGATTTGTTGAGCTTCATCTATTCTGGAAAATAGAATAAAAGAGCCCGTTTATTTTTTTTTTAAAAAATGTAAATTAAGAACTTAATAATTAAAAATGTATCGAATCTATGCCCTGTCGAATCCTTCTTCCAATATTACAAATACTAACAGAGAAGGTCTTATAAAATGGGATTAAAAACTTATGGTAATGAGTTTTTTGTTTTTGCCTGATATCATTAATCAGTGGAAAGAAAAACTCAAATTTTTAGAACAATTAGGAAATTATTATTAATAATTTCAGTGCGCAAAACAAGCATTGTACACCCTGAATAACTTTTAATCTAATGATCATTTCATTTACCAAGAAATTTTAAAGAAATTAAATTTTTAATATGCCACTTTTTAAAATTTAATAACTCAGAAACTATTCGACCAATTTCGTTCAAATTTTGAATTTTGCAATTTAAAAATTGCATACTTAAAAATAATGTAAAAATATTTACAGACAAATAATAAATAATTATAAAATAACATTTTTTTGCATTGAGTTATCTTTGAATAAACGAATTTTATAATTGTGTGCAAAAGTTTTTCGATTAGCTTTGTAAGCTCTAACGATATAGCAAAATAAGCAAAAAGTATAGTTAATATTAAGTGGTCTAAATAAATATTCGATCACTCTCCTGACCAAACCGTAGGTACCAGCCAGATGTGGCTATTTTGAGGGTTAAGCATTCGAATCCTGGAAGAAAAAAAAATGTATTCAGAAAAAGCTTCTTTTTGTCGTCTGATTTCGTCATTTAAAATATCGTCTGCTCAAGTTAAGTAACCGTGGCAGAATCGCAGCGACGCTTCGACATTGTCGCAGAACGTTACAGAGTTCACGCAAAATGATTTTTCTTTTGAAAAGTAAATAAAAAAAAAAAAACATATTTCTTTTCTACAGAAATTTACATCATAATCTTCGTAAAATTTACTTATAATTACCTAATCAACGTTAAAATTTACGTAATATTTGAATTATGTATTTAGATAATCCCTTTTGGATGCGCTCAATTTACGCCGATAGTATCGTTAATCGATGTAATGTCTCGATTGTATTTTCGGCAGCTCTTAATATTAATTTTCACGTAGTTTTTAAATAGCCCGATATATTTCAAACAATATGGAAAATTTAAATCGCGCATTTAAGTATTTGCTTTTTAAGGCAATAATTCTGTCGGATTTTTGACAGTTACTGCGATTGATTTCTCCATAGTGTTTAAATCTGATATTTTTTTATACGATATTATTTATTACTTATTACACTAATTTAATCTCTACACGCATTTGAGGAGTCCGATTCGCATGATTTCGTCGTAGATCTTTTTTTCGGTAATTACTACTACGGATTTCATGATTTTTAATTATGTTTTTTTTTTATTGTGATGATCATTTACGAAACGCATGGAAGCAAATAATTTGTGCGTCCCGCCACAATATGCGAGAATACCCCTATAATACTAGAATAAAAAATTATTACAGATTCATTTAAAAAATGTTATATAGTTTATGTAAACACAGCGCTTTTGTTATTTTAAATTAGTAACATACACTGAAGAGCCAAAAAGACTAGTACAGGCATGAGTATGCAAATAAAGGGGTATAAAGCCAATCATAGTACAGCTCTGCGATCGGCAACGCGTACATAAGACAACGAGTGTCTAGCACAGTTCTTAGATCGGTTACTGCTGCTACAATGCCAGGTTATACAGATTTAAGTGAGTTTGAACGTGGTGTTATGGTCGGGGCACGGGAGATGGGACATAGCATCTCCGAGATAGCAATGAAATTTGGATTTTCACGTACGACCATTTCACGAGTATACCGTGAGTATCGGAAATCCACCAAAATCCCCAGACATGAACATTATTGAACATATTTGGGATGTCTTGCAACGTGATGTTCAGAAGATATCCCCACCCCATCTTTCTCCCACTGGTTTATGGACTGCCCTGCAGGATTCATGGTGTCAATTATCTCCAGCACTACTTCACACATTGATCGAATCCATGACACGTCGTGTTGCGGCACTTCTGCGTCCTCGCGGGGGTCCTACACGATATTAGGCAGGTATACCTTTTTTTTTTGGCTCTTCAGTGTATATGTTTGTTGTTATTAAAAGTATCTTTGCAGAAAGATTTTAGTGCTAGAGTAGGGATGCACAATATGCGGCCCGCCGACTGATGATATGCGGCCCGTGAGAGCTTCTGAACGCAATAGAAATATTTATTTTAATGTGGTTTTGTTTAAACATAATAAATGTTCTTTAATTCAAATTTAATATTGACTTATAAAAAAGGCATATATTTTTTGCACTTTCATTCAGTAAGCTTCTTTTTGGTTAAAATTTATATCCTCTCCCCATTATTTATATATGATTAAAATTAATTATTGCAAAATATGGGAAAAGTTTTTTTTTTAAAAAAAGTAGCATTTTTTTTTAGTTTTAAATAAATTTAAATAATTAAAAGTATTTAATTTTCTGAAATATGTTATTCAGGTATCTGATAAAAATATTTAATGCTTTAGAGCACTGGTGTTTATACAAAAATTATATTTTGCCGCTAACATGACTAATTATGCGAGCGGCTCTTCATTAATCTACTTGCTGTGAAAGTGGCCCTTTACTCAAAAAGGTTGCGCACATAGCTCGAAAAAATTCTGTCACAGGGATCGAGCCTAGTACGTGAAAATCCTATCGTTAGATGAAAAGTTATTTTTTTAAAAATAAGTTTCAAAAATGTGTTCACGTGTAAGAAGTTTGTTTCTTGTGTGTTTCAGGTTCAGGAGGTGCCTTACCGTCCAGTAAACCCCATCCTCTGTCTTTAGAGGCTGCCTGTGCAGATGGTACCCCTCCTCCTCCCCTACAGATAGGCAACAGGGTGGTCTGGATCAGCGATACTGGACCGGAATACGGTGAAGTGAAATGGCTGGGTAAACTATTGGATGTGGGCAACGACTGGATGGTCGGAGTGGAATTTGTAAGTCCGTAATGATTTCTCTATATCCGAAATGAATTTTATTTTTATTGTATAACCGTCGCGCTGAACACCCGACTCAATTTTGGGTTTACGACTACTAATGTTCAACTTCCCGCAGCCTTGTAATTTTGAACCCGATCCAGAAGACAAGAGAACTCTTGGATAAAGTTTATGGGAGAAATTTGACTTCGTGGCATTTGCGTTACATAGAGAGGAAGACCTCCCACAGTTAGCCTGACCGGAAGAGGACTTTAACCCATAACTCGTCTACCACTGAGGATATTTTACGTCAGCACTGTGGCCGGATGCGGAATTGGTACGACCAACCATCGCTGCGATTCGAACCCGGTTCACCTCATTGGAATGCGAACGCTGTATCCCCTGAGCCATCACAACTCATGCGAAAATGAATTGTTATGAAAGTTTGAGCAATGGAAATTTGTTAGCGCCAATAAAGCTATCAATAGTATGAACAGTTTTAAATGCCGTTACCTGAGGGCACGTCACCCAATCATGGCTAAGTTCATTTCAGGACTTATCTTTTAACATTCATGATAGGAATACCACGAAATTTTGAACCTGATTAGACGACATGGACAGAGCCTGAACTGGTACCCCTCTCTCCATGCTTCCTCACTACGACCATTTATAGAATTTATTACTGCAGAGCCAGATTTAACGTACACTTTCCTATGTATACACGTTGGTTGTTAGGTCGACTGCTTGGATCAAACTCGCAACCCCAGCTCTCCTCCAGCTGTATGAGCTATGCCTACACTACCAGAGGACGGTTTTTTGAATGTATAAAGCAGTTTTAAAAAAAATTTGTAACTACTAAGCTTGCTCAGCGTAATGAGGTTTTACAATACCGTAAACCGGGGCGAGTCTACTCATCCAGGGGCGAGTCTACCCATTTTAGTTTTATTTAATTTTCACTGTTTTAAATTGCAAATAAATTTTTTTTTACCGATGTAGGACTTAGTTCAGACTCTAAGGAAGATGGCGCTGTAGTAGTTTGATCCGTTTTTATTTATTTGGTGTCTTTTTAACCGACGTGTGTTCAAAATTAGGCAGTGG